GGTTTAACCAACTTGTCTCACAAAACTATGACGTCTCATGGTACACTATGAATGTGACCAATGCCACCATAAAATCTCCCAGGAAAACTAAGATCAGGCTAATTAGTGGAGACAAATCCTGCAGTTTCCCAGTTATCCTCTTAGGAGATCACAAAAAAATTGCAGCTTTTGAATCTCACTAATTTTACAAATGAAAAAAAAGTATCAAAACTTTCAAATTTACAAATTCTTTTCCTTCTTTCATGGGATGTGGGTGTCACTGGCTGGCCAGCATTTCTTGCCCATCCCTAGTTGTCTTTGAGAAGGTGGTGGTGAGCTGCCTTCTTGAACCACTGCAGTCCACCTGCTGAGGATTGATCGACAATGCCATTGGGGAGGCAATCCCAGAATTTTGACACAGCCACAGTGAAGGAACGGCGATGTATTTCCAAGTCAAAATGATAAGAGGCTCAGAATGGAACTTGAAGGTGGTGGCATTCCCATGTATCAGCGGCCTTTGTGCTTCTAGATGGACGCAGTGTTTGGAAGGTGCTACCTGAGGACCTTTGGTGAATTTCTACAATGCATCTTGTAGGTAGTACACACTGCTGATACTGAGCGTTAGTGGTGGAGGGAGTGGATGATTGTGGATGTGATGCCAGTCAAGTGGGCTGCTTTGTCCTGGATGGTGTCAAGCTTCTTGAGTGCTGTTGGAACTGCACTCATCTAGGCAAGTGGGAAGTATTCCATCACAGTCCTCACTTGTACCTTGTAGATGGTGGACAGGCTTTGGGGAGTCAGGAGGTGAGTTACTCCCCACACTATTCCTCGCCTCTGGCCTGTTCTTGTAGCCACTGTGTTTATGTGGTAAGTCTAATTGAGTTTCTGATCAATGGTAACCTCCAGGATGCTGATATTTGTGTATTCATTGATGGTAATACCATTGAATATCAAGGGGCAGTGGTTATATTGTCTCTTATTGGTGATGGCCATAGCCTGGCTTTTGTGTGACACAATATTACTTGTCACTTGTCAGTCCAAGCCTGGATATTGTCCAAATCTTGTTGCATTTGAACGTGGATAGCTTCAGTATCTGAGGGGTTGCAAATGGTGCTGAACATTGTGCAATCATCGGCAAATATCCCCACTTCTAATCTTATGATGGAGGGATGATCAGTTCTGCAACAGATAGATTGATGGTCACTGCACTTAAATATGAGAAAATATGTTTATTTTGTATACAGTATTTCATAGATGATTAGTCCTGCCTAGACATGAAGCTGAAAAGTTAAATAAACCCATGTCCGTATTCAAATACATTGGAAGAGAAAGCTTCTCTGTAGTCCTCACTTTGTGTTATGTCACATGTTCCTGATGGTCATCTATGTTTTATTCTGAATTGAAGTGTGAATAATGTTTACTTTTTTCTCAAAGTAAGCCAAAATATTGGAGAATACGTAAACCTGAAATAAAAATGTAATGTGTTGGAGCAACTCAGTAGATCATGTCGTATCTGTCATGACAAAAACATCATTTCAGTACATATTAATCTGATATCAGCAATGGTCTTTTAATTTCTTAAAATTCTAGTACATGATATAAAAAGTCTTCTACCCCACAGGACTGATTTTAACTCAGTGGGATGAAGGGCTAGACTGCACAGCCCAACTGGGTGAACAGAGTGCAAATTAAGACAATCTTAACACTTAGCAAGGGTCATCAGAATTGGAAATACTTCAAATCTTAACTGTTTCTAAGCAACTAATGAGCCAGGAAATAAAGGATGCTATCTTGTACTGAGAAAAGATTAAGAGAAAAATGTGTGATATGGTGGAAGGCCAGTACAGAAAAATGAAATGATGGTGCAAGCTAATGGGTAAGCAATGAGCAAGTAAAACAAGAAAGGATGATCAAGAGAAAATACAAAAGCAGAATCATCACCAACAGCTGCATTCTGATATAACGGGCAAAGTGGTTATAATCTAAAATTGCTGAACTCAATGCTGAAGCAGGAGGACTGATAAATAATACTCAATAAATGAGGCACTGATTAGATTTTTGATTTGATTTATTGTACCTAAGTACAATGAAAAGCTTTGTTTTGCCAGCAGTACAAGCAGATCATAGCAAACAAGAGCATACAGATCATAGTGCGCTTAGACAGAGTGAGGCATTTGGGTTACACTGCACAGGAGGTGCGTAAAGCAAGATCAACATTAACATGATCAACATTATTTGAAGTTAGAGAGTCCATTCATCAGTCTAGTAACGGCAGGGAAGAAGCTGTTCTTGAACCTGCTGGTGCATATGTTCAAGCTTCTGTATCTGCTGCCTGACAAAGAGTTTGGAAGAGAGCATTTACCGGGATGAGAGGGGTCTTTGATGATGTTGGCTGCCTTTCTGTGGCAATGAGAGGTGTAAATGGAGTCCATGGATGGAAAGTTGACTTCCAAAATAGTCTGGGCTATAGATACAGCCTTCTGTAGTTTCTTATAGTCCTGGGCAGAGGAGTTGCTATACCAGGCCAGTCCTGAGGAAGCGTCATCAGACCCGAAACATTAACTATGATTTTTTCTTCACAGATGCTGCTGGACCTATTGAGCTTTTCCAGCAACTTCTGTTTGTATTCCTGATTTACAGCATCCACAGTTCTTTCGGTTTTTATGCCATACCAGGCTGTTTTGCATTTGGATAGTATGCTTTCTGTGGTGTATCTGTAAAAGTTGGTGAGGGTCCTTATGGATATGCAGAATGTCCTATGTTGCCTGAGGAAGAAGAAGTGTTGTTGTGCCTTCTTGACAGTCACATCTACATGGGAAGTCCAGGACAGATTGTCTCTTATTGTCTCTCATTGGAACTTGACGCTCTTGACCCTCTCCAACTCAGCTCCATTGATGTAAATGGGAGCGTGTTCTCCTCCTTTCTTCCTGAAGTCAATGATCATTTCTTTTGTTTTGCTGACATTGAGAGAGAGGTTTTTCTCATTGCATCACGACACCAAGCCCTCTACCTCCTTCCTGTATTCTGACTCATCGATGTTTGATATCCGTCCTACCATGATGGTGTCGTCAGCGAAAGTGTAGATGGCATTGCTTCAGAATTTGACAACACAGCCTTGGGTGTACAGGGAGTATAGTAGGGGGATGAGAACACATCAGTGGGTGGCACCAGTGGTGAGGGTTATTGTGAAGGACGTGCAGTCTATCTTCACTGATTGTGGTCTGTGTGTCAGGAAACTGAGGATCTGGTTGCAGAGGCCGGAGCGGAGATCTACATCTCAGAGTTTTGAGAATGGTCTGGAAGGGATTATGGCCTTGCAGGTGGAGCTGTAGTCGATGAGTAGGAGTCTGACATAAGTATCTTTGTTAATCAAATAATCCAGGGATGTGCGTAGGGCGAGGGAAATGGCGTCCTTGCGGACCTGTTTGATCGGTAGGCAAATTGCAGGGGATTGACTCAGACTGGGAGGCTGGAGTTTATATGGATCATGACCAGCCTCTTGAAATATTTCATGATTATGGACGTCAGAGCCATTGGGCAGTAGTCATTAAGGTGCGTTGCATGTGCTTTCTTTGGTATGGGGATGATGGTGGTCTTCTTGAAGCAGGTGGGGACCTCGGCTTGTATGAGGGAGAGCTTGAAGATGTCAGTGAATATCTCTGCCAGCTAGTCTGCACAGGACCTACGTGCATAGATGGGAACTCTGTCCGGGCCCATAGCTTTCCTTGAATTGACTCCCAGGAAGACTGATCTGACGTCTGCAGTGGAGACAGAGGGAACAGGTGTGGCCGGGGTAGGTGACACCATGTTGCTGGCATTCTGCCCGAATCAAGCATAGAGAGCATTGAACGCATCAGGAAAGGATGTGTTTTTGTCTGCTATCTTGCTGTGCTTCAGTTTGTGTCCTGTTATGTTGTATAGGCCTTGCTACAGGCAGCAGGCATCTCTGATGGCTTTGTGGAGGTCGTATCTGGATTTTCTGTATAGATTTGGGTCATCCAAATTGAATGCTGCATGCCTGGTCATCAGTAGGGAGTGCATTTCCCAGTTCATCCAGTTGGGGAACACCTGGATTGACTTGTTTGGCATGCTGTCCTTTACACACTTACTAATGAAGTCCACGACGGTGGTGGCCTACTCGTTTAGGTTGTCCGCTGAATTCTTGAATATGATCCAATCCACCGATTCCAACCAGTCCCGGAGAAACTCTTCCGCTGCCTGAGACCAGCATTGTATCACTTTCTGTGAAGGATCCTCCCGTTTCAGCTTCTGCTTGTAATCTGGGAGGAAGAACACGGTGCTGTGATCTGATTTTCCGAGATGTGGACGGGGAACGGAGCGGTAGGCATCGGTGATGGTTGTGTAGCAGTGATCCAGGATGTTCAGTCCTCTGGTGGGGCTGGGGATGTGTTGGTGGCATGTTGGCAGCACCCTCTTGAGGTTGGCCTGATTGAAATCATCGACCACGATGAATAAGGCCTCGGAGAATTTCGTCTCCAGAGTGTTTGTAGCAGCGTAAATCTCATCCAGGACATTCTTCACATCCGCATGGGGTAGTATGTAGACTGCTGTTGGGATGTGGAGGTGAACTCATGCAGCAGATAGTAGGGACGACATTACACTGTAAGGTATTCTTGGCCTGGGAGCAGTGGTTCACTAGGGTCACCATGTCTGTGCACCATCGAGGTGTTGATGAGGAAGTATATCTCTCCATCCATTTCCTTAGCCGAGGACACCGTGCATTCAATATGATGTATGAAGAACCCCTCAGCTTGCAAGGCACAGTCAGGGATAGCAGGAGAGAGCCATGTCTCCATACAACAGAGCACACAGCAGTCTCTCAGTGCTGTCTAGAAGGTAAGCCTAGATCTGAGTTCATCCACTTTGTTTTCGATAGCTTGGACATTGCTAGGAGTGTGCTGGGGATGGGGTCTTGAAACCGCATTATTTCAGCCTCACCCACAGACCAGCATGTCTTCCCCATTTTTCTGGAGGTTTCCTGCATCTGGATGGTGCCGGGAATGGTGCGAGTCTGCTGCTCCAGAAGGTAAGTGAGATGGCTCCTTGTTGGGTTGGGCCTCCCCTAGGACGGGAGACCATGAGAGTTCGGGCCTAGGCTTCTCCAGTCTCCTCGGGGATGGGTCGTGGCGGTACGACTTTTGGTCCTGGATGGACCAGGCCGTCAGTGGTGTGAGTCTTTTACTCCAGAAGGTAAGTGAGTCGGGTCTGGTCAGGCTGACCCTCCTCGGGGTCAAGTAGCTGCAGGATTGGGGACCAGGCCTAGGCTGGTCAGGCCTCCTCGGGTTTGTGTCGCTGTGGGTCTGGGGTTAGGTCCTGGCCTGGTTAGGCCTTCTTGGAGTCGAATCACTACGGGTCTGGGGTTAAGCTCTGTGCTGGTTGGTCCTTCTTGGAATCGAATTGCTGTCGGGGCTGATTTCATTCCAGGTCGGATCAGGACACCACAGGGTCAGATGGCTGTGGGATCAGGGTTCGGAACTTGGTTCTGGGCGTCCTCATGGGTCCTGCGGGAAGCCATTGGTTTTGCCCTGGTCCTGCCAGCTCAGCTTCGGACGCCGGGACATTTGAAGGATCCTCAGACCTGTAAGTAGATTTGAAAGTTATTACTAACTTTTATACACTTAGAATTTAGGTTTAGAAGCATTGAACGGTTATAAGAAATGTTAGAATAAGGTCTGTAATGGGGAGCTCACAAAGAGTTGCTCAGTGTCAGTACCATTTTGAACCTCTAATTGCTTCTCCAGCTGTTTCTCCAGCCTGTTTTCAACTTCAATTAAATCATTTAAGAAGTCAAGGAGGGAGAGAGTTTGAAGTGGGAGCGCAATGGAAAATTGCTCTGATTCACTGTTACCCTACGTACAAATTCAAATTTGGTTAATAGCTCCCATTTTTTTTTGAATTCCTAAAATTATGCTTTTGCACAATTTCATAGAGTCAGTTAAAATAAAGATCTTAGATTACACTTTAACAGTCTAAATGCTATCCTTCTGAAAAAACAATCCACTCAAGTAGTTATCTGGTTGACTTAATTTGTCTGTTGGTAGGAAATTTAGTGGAATTCTAATGAACTCAAATCTCAAATGAAAAACATCCAGAAATATCATGAAGAGTCAACAGATTTCAGAAGAGAAGTTTATGCTCAAACATTTAAATTCATCAAACAAGTGACAGAGAAAGCAGACATGGGTATTGTAGTTTGCAGGAGCAAATTACTGCAAATGCTGGAAGTATTAAAAACAAAAAATGCTGGAGATCACAACGGGTCAGGCAGCATCCATGGAGAGAAAGCAAGTTAACATTTCAAGTATAGATGACTCTTCATCAGAGCTCCAATGCTGTGATGAAGATTTATCTAGATTTGAAACGTTAGCTTGCGCTCTCTCCATGGGTGCTGCCTGATCCACTGTGATCTCCAGCATTTTTTGTTTTCAGTATGCATATTGTAGTTGATGTAAAATATCTGGATTTTCAGGAGGAATTCAGTAAGATATTTCATGATTCACTTCTGACCAAGCTCAAAGTGTGTAGAATCAAGGAACAATACCAGAAAAGACAGCAAAATGGCTACAGAACAGGAAACGTGGGGCTCAGGATTAATGGTAGAAAATCCAGCAGGTAAAAGTGGGAAGCAATTATCCCCAGGGAAACGTACTAGAATCATTGTATATAAGAGTTAGTACCTGAAGGGACTAACTGACATGATCAGGTAAGTTCCACATATCAAGGTGTACAGGACAGATTTAGTGTTGTACCAGTGTTCAGCGAGGGTGGCTCCAGCTGGGATATACTAAGTCAATGTCTGATTGTAACAGCAACAGTAATGTGAACTCACTCCTAAGTTGAGCCTGAAGTCTCACAACCCTCCATCATATTTTTCAATTTTACTTCATTCAGGGAAAATGGAAATCGCAGGCTGGGGCAGTTTGTGTTATCCTTGCTGCCCTTAAGAAGGTGGTAGTGAGATGTCTTTTTGAACCACTGCAGTCTGTAGGAAATGTAATGAACTCAAATTACAATTTTAAAAAAAATCCAGAAACTGAAAATATCATGAAGAGTTGTGCCGTTATTGAATCACAATGTTATTTGGGACAGAGTTCCAAGATTCTGACCCAGTGAGAGTAAATGGATAGTGCTTTATTTTCAAGTCTGGAAGGTGATTTGGAGAGGATCTTGATGTACCATATATCTGGTACCCTTTTCCTTGATTGAATGGGTTTGGAAGATACTGTTGAAGGAAACTTGATGAATTTCAGCAGTGCATCTTGTAGATAGTACACATTGCAGCTACTGTACATCACTGGTGGAAGAACTGTGGATCATAGATCATAGAATCCCTACAGTGTAGAAACAGGCCCTTCGGCCCAACAAGCTCACACCGACTCTCAGTGCATCCCACCCAGCCCCAGCCCCTGATAACCCACCTAATCTACACAATCCCTCAACACTATGGGCAATTTAGCATGGCCAATCCACCTAACCTGCACATCTTTGGACTGTGGGCGGAAACCAGAGCACCCGGAGGAAACCCACACAGACACGGGGAGAATGTGCAAACTCCACACAGACAGTCACCCAAGGGTGGAATTGAACCCGGGTCCCTGGTGCTGTGAGGCAGCAGTGCCAACCCCTGAGCCACCGTGCTGCCCCACCATTCCCAGTGTGGCACATGTGCACATAATAGAAATGAAATCTATTAATACACAAGTCCCTTACTTTGCTGACAGAAATAACATGTCCACACACTGCACCTATTTCAACTGAACAAAATAAGTGTCTGCCATTTTCTAATTCCTTCTTCAGTGTGATGCCTTGACCAATTAGAGTCAGAGTCAGTCTGATTTAAATTTAAACAAAGTTTGGCCGTTAACTGTTGATCATTATCTAACACCATCACATTCTCCAAGGTATTGCCTCTTTTAATCATAGTTCACTTGTCAACCAATCATACATTATAAAATGTTGATCTTCCTTACATTGGCATTCTGGCAAATGTCCTGACATGTACAAGATGAAAAGTTTTGTCAAAGTGTGACTATTTTCAGCTTTAAAACATTTTCTTCATTTCCTCTGACAGTTTTAATCTTCCTTCAAAATGTGAAATGTTGCCCAAAGCATCACATTTGTTTTAACTGCTCTTAGACATCTAAAATAAATTCAATAAATTATAAACCAACATTTATACTTACTTAAGCTGAAATATGCAAAATGCTTGTACATTTGTGATTATGGTGGCAGTCAAGTGGGGTGCTTTTTCCTTCATGGTGTCAAGCTTCTTGAGTGTTGTTGGAACTGCTCTCATCCAGGCAAGCAGGGACTATTCCATCACATTAATGACTTGTGCCTCATTAATGGTGAATAGGATTTTGGCATTCAGGAGGTGAGTTGTTTGGTTGAGGATTCCTTTGTTTCTGACCTGGTCTTGCAGTCACTGTAGGTAAATGACTAGCCCAGTTCAGTTTCTGATCAATGGCAACTCCCCAGGATGTTGCTAATGGGAGATACAGTGATGGTGAATGTCAAGGGGCGATAGTTAGATTCTGTCTAGTTGGAGGTAGTCATTACCTAGCATTTGAAAGTGTGAATGTTACATGCTGCTTGGTAAGCGAAGCCTGAGTATTATTTAGGACTTGCTGCATTTGGCCAGGGACTGTTTTAGTATCTGAGGGGTTGTGAACGTTGATGAACGTTGTGCAATCATCAGCAATCTGCAATCTGGTCTATTATTCTGATGTACTTATGATTTTTCTAGTTAGCATGCAAAACAATATTTTTCACTGTATCTTGACACAAGTGACAATAATAAATCAAATCAAACCAAACATGTCCATTTCAGACCTTATGCTGAAGGAAAGGTCATTGATGAAACACAAAGCAGTTGAATAAAAGTTTCAGTTAGTTAATGGTGAAATAGGGCTAAGCCATTTCAGTTAGGAGTGTCTTATTAAAAAGTCAGAACTGAAGGATTACACATGTTCAGAAATAGTATAGAGAATTTGGAGCAGCTGATATGTACAATTAATAAAGATAAAGAAGCCTTGGGCAAATACAGACAATGCCTGCTACATGTACTGTATCAAATGAGTAAATTTGGTCAATATATGGTGTGAATTGACTAAACTAAGAATTTTGAACATGACCTAGTTGGTATAAAACCTGAAAACATGTGCGTCTTGGCAGAGTTTAATCTTTGATCAGGCTGATTCTTCTAGTATTCAATTGAACAAATTTCTGCAACAGACACCTGAACCGTCTTTTTTTTTATCAAGTTGAATAACAGTAATTTCTGGCACAGTCGTAAAGATCTTGTATTGCACGTGCAGGACCGGCACTGCACTTGGGTGAATATGTTTTAACTTACATCCTGTAGTTGGAGCGAGAGAAGCACCAGACTGGTGTGGGCAAGATTCAAAGAATCTGAAGGAGGACTCAGGTCAGGAGGCACTGAGTGAGGGGGTCGAAGAGGAACAGGACAGCCAGAGCCAGACAGATAGGTCAGACCCCTAGGAGGTACTAGCAGAACACATGATCCAAAAGCTGTGCTGGTTGGAAAACTAAGACCATGCAGGGTGGGCAACTCATAGAATCCCTACAGTGTGGAAACAGGCCCTTCGGCCCAACAAGTCCACACCGAACCTCAGTGCATCCCACCCAGACCCATCCCCCTCTAACCCACGTAATCTACACCTCCCTGAACACTACGGGCAATCCACCTAGACTGCACATCTTTGGACTGTGGGAGGAAACCAGAGCACCCGGAGGAAACCCATGCAGACACGGGGAGAATGTGCAAACTCCACACAGACAGTCAGCTTAGGCTGGAATCAAACCCGTGTCCCTGGTGCTGTGAGGCAGCAATGCTAACCACCGAGCCACCATGCCGCTCTGAAGAAAAAACATAAAAGGTGGTTTTAGGTGAGAAGACAGAAAACCAAGTTTAAAATAAAATTTGTTAAAGGACACTCAAGATGATGCACATTTTGTAGCATGGACAAGCTACAAGGTATCATTGCTTTTTCTAGAAGACCGCCTGCGAAAAAAAAACTACAAAAAAAGAGTCCTAATCAAGGATAAGGGCTGGAAAACAAGAGTTCTCAGACAATCACACACAAAATTAGTTTCTATAGAAAAACGTTATAAAAATAAATCTAAAATGAAAAGAAACATTTTAGCTCAATAACACTTTTATTTTAATTCTGGATAATTTTGGGATGTGAAATGTCTGAAAAAGCATTCAATGAGTTACTTTTGAAAAATCTGAGTTTTTAAGTGTAAAGTGTGAACATGCAAACAATGGCTTTGAGGTAATACTTGATTGTACGCTAACTGTAGTCAAAGGAGGTACATCACCTCAGGAGGAGGGCACATCTAAAATGAGAGAGTAATTAAGGAATAAGTGGAAGCTGCTTCTCTACCAATACAAATAACAGTGATTATGGTTAACGCATACCAGAAGCCAATAGAGACTTCACATTAGTAGGTGGCTAATGGGTGGATAAGGCAGCCACAATGAGTCCAGAACACTGGGTGGCAGTGCTGGCAATTGGGCTGGAGGAGAGAACCATGGGAGAGGGTGAGGAACACCT